AGTAGGAGTAGGAGTGGTCGTCGTCGCCTCGTCCTCGTCGTCCTCGTCAAAGCCTCTGCTGAAAGGGGTCCCGTGATCCATCCCCCACTACCGGGGCTCCCAGTCACGACATGCGAACATGCCACGCGCTGGCCCTGTGCTGCTGGCTTGCGATGCGCTCTGTAGCTGGCTGTCCTCTGGACTTCTTCGAGTTGCCGAAACATGTACAGCTTCAATGGGGTCCAAAGATATATCCAACGATGCTTGCAAGTGGCAGGCAAAACATGACTAAACAATTCTTAAGGTCCAAAAACAGCGTGATTATCGATAGGTCTTTTTCATCCACTTCATGTTGCGTTCATCTCTAAGTCGTGTCTCGGTCATACACATTTTATACTTTATTGTGCATATGCACTCCATTTGTGGACCCCCTTGACAGACTTACAAATGAACGCAACATGAAGTTGATGAAAAAAGAACTATCTATAATCACTCTATTTTTGGACCCTCTTGAAAATGTACCATGTCAAATGGATCCAAGAATAGATCCAACAATTCTTGCAAAATGCAAGTAAGACATAACTAAACTAACAATGTATCAAAAGGTCCACAAGACAATGATTCTAGATAATTGTCTTACCCTCTCTCTGAGAGCCACTGGTGCGGGCTGAGTGGTCCAGCCGTTCTCGTTACTCGTTTGGAAACCTCTGACCAGCTTTTCAGTGTACCAGACGTACAAAAACCTATCTTCAAACTTGATCCCAGTAAAAAGACCTCTGAAGACGCCCGGAAGCTGGGGACTGGAGGTTTAAAGAACCCCAAAAGTTCTCAAGTCGGACTCAGTGGATGTGACTGGAGGAGTTTGAAAATCCGCAGCACCTGGGAATGTCCCCCTAATTCGGAAACTCCAAGTGCTTTTCTCCAGTTTCTCAATTCCACCTCAGAAGGTCCTTTGATGGAATTGGGGCGTCTGCTTTGGACACGTCTATCGAGCCCACCTTCGCGTCCAACGTCCCCAGCACCCCTCCCCTCGGTCCCTCCATCCCAGCCTACCACGGGGGACACGGGCTCCTGCCTGGAGGACCAGCGCGGGCGCGTGGTTTTGGGCAACACGCGCGCGCGCGAGGTGAGATCCCAAGTCGAGGCGCCCGCGCCCGCGGGCCGCGCCCGCGCCGGCGCGGGGTCTGTGTTTCAGCGGTCCCCTCTTGAAACTTCGTCCCCAAAGAGGGGCCGTCTTCAGACCCTCTTGCCACCTCAAATGACATGGACGGGGTTCTCAACCGCCGCATTCGACCCACCCAGACCACGGCCCGAACCCCGGCGGCTCCTGAACATCGGTGGGCGAGGCCGATGTTAGCGCCGCCAAGCTCGGCGGAGCCGCAGAGCCGGCCGGACGAAGCTGCAGGGAAGGAGGAACACTGAGGGCAAACGCGAGGGCCATTCGACAAGTCGGTCAAAGCCCACACGCAAGCGATTCCAAACCTCGGATTGTTCAAGTCCTTCGGCCAAATCGGTGCCACCCTAATGTCCTCTCTGGTTAAACCGGTGGATTAACAGGATGCTCCTTTCTTTCTGGATCGAAGACGTCGCCAGTGTCTCGTCTGCTTCGCCCATGTCCCCTGGAAGTCCAAAGACGATTTTTGGCGCCACCGAGCTAAAGGAACCTTCTTTTTCGGGTCACCTAAAGACCCTTTTTTAACAGTCTTATCAGTCTTGGACTTCTAGGGCGTCAGCTGTCGCCATCCCTCAACCTTTTTGCCAGCTAAGAGGGTCAAAATAAGCATTCAGCACGCAGTCTTGGGCGGGCCCGCTCACGAGCCTGACTCGCGTCCTGTGCCCGCCGCATTCTTTGAACGCGGCCGCCCAGTTTGGCCCGGCCGATGGGTGGCGGACGTCCGACCGACCGTCGAACGGCACGTCAAGCGCGATGGGATGGGAAGTCGGGCGATGCGCCGTGTGGTGGGAAAATTGGCCCATCGGCAAGGCGAATAAACACTCGTGGAGGAGGGCGAACTTTAAGAGGGGGGGCCAGGTCTAAATCACGTTCCGCCTAAAGTGAAGACGAGTGCAGAATCTTATTTCTGTCCTGCTATCATCCCTCGACTCTGAAGCTCCAACCTTCCAAATACACTTCTAAACCAGGCATGTTGCAGGTGGTGCAACTAGGTCGTCTCCACCAGCACCCCCTTTCCTCGCCCTCCTCACCGGAACCAGCGCTTGCCGATGTGAACCTCCTTCCCACCCTTTGGCGGGAGCTCGGCCCACTCGGACCAAACGCGGGAAAACTGGAGCAGCGGGTGGAATGGACGGAACGGTCAGATTGGCTAGAGTGAATGAATAGGTTTGATGACTTGATGTTTCATTGAACATACATAGAAGTGTACTTACTTCCTGATGCTTTTATATAGTGAATGAATATGATGATGTTGATGTTTCATTGAACTTCTTAAATAGAAGTGTACTTCCTGCAAAAGGTGCCAGGTCTGACCTGTGCCGAATTCCTCATGTGAATCAACATATGTTTCTTGATAAACACCCCAATGATGTCAGGTGAGGTGAGGCTCCACCATGAACGGCTGTACCCAAACATCTGGTTTACACCGTTTGCTGCGCTCGGTCCCTATGCGCTCGGTCCTTTGAGTAAACTGAAGCCGCTGGAGAGAAACCCCCTCTGATGATTCTTTTCAGCAGTAAACCCTTTCAGGCTCTAAAGTTACCCATCCTCGATTGATTGAACCAACCCATGTGAATGGATGTTTAAAAGACAACCTGCGGACCTGCAACCAACCGAAGAAGATGCAGGGTGACCTACGTCCTGTGAGAGCTACACTCTACACTAGTTTGACTTAAAGAGGGAGACGCGCCGGGCGGGTGACCTAGTGAATTCCCCACCGGCTTGGATCACGTTCCGACATTTCACATGCACCCATCCTCCCAGAAGGACAAGACGACCGCAAGTGTGACACCTTTCTCTGATTTCCGAGGGGGCGGGTTCTTGAACGACCTTGCTCTTAACATCCGAGCTTGGGAAACCTCTATCTCCGCAAGCAGGCGAAATGAACATGCACAAAGAGAGAACATGGCATGAACGTGCTCATGTCGTTCCAGCCACACGCCGCCGTGCTGTTCAAACTTGGAAAACTCCGTGTCGGTCTGAAGCCGCGACCAACTCACCTGGACGGGGGCGAAGACGTCAACGTCCTCTGCTTTCCGGGACGAAGAAGAAGCGCCCGGATCTCGGTGCCAACAAGAGGTGGTGCCCCTTCTGAACCGCAGGAAGCACCGGTCTGATGAGGTGTGTCTTCCAAAACGGAGGGGACAGGGTCGCGACAACCACTGCGGTTTCGAGGGTCGCGACAACCACTGCTTTGGGGTCGCTACGCCAGGGATCGTTGGTGTACGGGATCGGCGGATCGCGCGAGAGAGCAACACTCCCTGAGTGTTTTGTATGGTCTTCACCCGGCTTTTGCCAACTTGTTGAGAAGAACGACCGGACGTCGTACAGTGCACGACGTGCGCATGTGATCGGAGAATGTTCATTCTGCTCATCCAATGGGGGATGTTTTCTTGGCGCCCACTTCCATGATTCCACGTCCGCCTGACTGAGTTGAAAACATACATCTGACGTCTGACAAACACCGGAAGTTTGGACGTTCGGACGTTCTCCGGAGCTGAACCTGTGTGGTGGCCCATGCTCAACGAGGACCGTCCCATCCGCCGTTCGTCCGGGCCGACCGCGGTTCGTCCGGACCGCAGTTGGCCCGCATGGAACACTCAGCCACATGCGGCTGGGATGAAGCAGGCTGAGTGTTTTTGGGCCACGATATCTACCAAGAGATCTGGCCGTGAAAGGAGCAGTCCATACTGGCAATCTTTTTGCCTTCCAAACTCTTCGTCCACGTTCGGGATACGGGACGTCCTTACCGCTCCGGGGTCAACCGGGGTGAACCGGACAGAGGTGAATCGGGGAACCGAAGAGTCCCCCGTCGGACCGGTCACCAATCTGCCCCCTCTGTCCACCCAAACATCCAACCCGGACATGAGCTGCTGTTTTTGATAGGAAGTTGGACCATCTTTGGGGTGGTTGATGGTCCAAAAGAGCGGATGGAAGTGGAAAATGATCAAAAATCTTTGCTGTTCCGCACATCATCGAACCGAATTCAGCCACCAAACGGTCCATCTTCAAACAGAGACAAGGGGGGTCGATCACGGAGGCTCCATCACGCCGTAGAACGGTCGCGCAACCGGTCACGTGGGGCCCCACCTAAGACGCGGAACCCCGGCTGTGCGCCGGCAGCGTGGCCCTGCTGGCGGAACGAAAGAACGCACCGCGCAACCGGTCACGTCTCTGGCCCTCGGACGGGTTGCTGGGGAATCCCGGAACTCTGGTGGATTTCGAGGTTTCATTTCTGGTGCCAAAAAAGCCGGGTCCCCAGACGGAGGGTGCCTTCATCTTCCGTCCCTCTGAACAAACGCCCCCAATTTGACCACTCGGCGGGCCACTCGCTTCGTCGATGGACCACTCGGCATGTCGTCGGATCCCGTGAGAATCTTCGGAAGTATACGCAAACGCAGAGAGAGGGAACAAAAAAAATACATAAATAAAATATATATATATATATAGGTAGTATACCTTGGTGAAAAGAACCACCGGACCAGCACCACTGGTGAGTGCGTGTGTGTGTGTGTGTGTGTGTGTGTGTGTCCATTCGCCACCCGAAAAGACAAGTCACTCCTCCTCCCAACTTGTCAGGTAGAGGTAGACCGATCCGCACTCACAAACCACGTCCGAACACCACGACCCGCCCTTCGGGAGGAGGGATGCCGTCTACAGCCCGGAAGGATGGGAACACAGCGAGTGACGAATGGGGGCCCAGGTTCCGGCCTGGTTTTGTGTACCTCGAAGCTGTTTGTGACCTCTATTTTGGACCACCAACCACCCCAACAAATGGTCCAACTTCCTATACCACAGAACCCATTTGAGCTCTGTTTTTGATAGGAAGTTGGACCATATTTGGGGTCATTGGTGGTCCAAAGTAGAGGTCACAAACAGGTTCAAGGATGTTCTAGGTATTATTTACTGCAATGTGGCAATTAGGTAATCATATTCTCGCAGGTACGTGCAATCTGCGTCCAGACGGCATTTCACGGCAAGCTTGAAGTGTCTTCCTTGAGCGACGACGTCAGGAATAATAACCCCCACCACGACCACCACCAACCTGCAAATGTTGACACTTTCCTCAAGTGCGAAGACCTTTGCTCGTAGCGGCCTTGCTCCTAGTAGTAAGGCCAGGAGCCCCGTTCGTAGCGTCCGATCGCTCCGTTCGTAGCGATGCCAGGACTGCGAGAGGCCAACCACTCCACCCCTCCCCGCCACCCCGCCTATGCGCCCACGGCCTGATCGAGTGGTGCTTCCACAAAGCGCCGAGAACGGCTCTTCGCCAACTGTTGGGAGCTCTTGTGCTCCTGCGTGCGCGACACCGGGGAACCTTCGCGACACCGCGACACCTTCGCTTGGGAGGGGAGAGGTGGTCGGCTGCTAGGGGTCCGGGAATCAATCGAACTCAACTTCGCGGCTGACACCATTCAAGATTGGATCAAACAGGGAGTTTCGGCCTCCACTTTCATCACTCATAGCAGGTCTGTCAGAGACCAAACGGCCACTCATCTCGGGTGCTGCTTGGCTGCTTGAGATAGGTGGAAAACCTCCCATGTTTTCGCCAAAAACCGAATGGAACCACTAGGAACAACCCCCATGGCATGGCGGATCTCAGAGGCCCTTCAAGGCCAATCGCCGACTTGTGGCCACAGAAGTGGTGAAGAAAGAAAATGAACAATCAATCGCGCTCCAAGCTGCCAAGAGAGGTTGAGAGACCTGAACTACCCTGTAGTGGTACACTATGGGGCTCTTCAACCTCTAGCTACTGGCGAAATGGCCTCCAACCTCCTGGAGAAAAAAGAAGATCCCACCAGGGTCTCGCAAATCGTTCACGCTCCGTCCGCGCGGGTGTTGGGTTTTTGTTCCCCCCCTTCCGGCCTGCTCGGACAGCTTGGTGGGAGTGGTGACCTGGGAGGGGCGATCATGTCGCTCGGTTCTTCCAAGAAATGACAGCGGGGTGGACACTGGGCCAGTGAGGAACTACACTCACAGGTCATGGGTCTGATAGGAAAAAGAAACATCATGGAACATCATCTGGAACTGCTTTCGAAAAACGCTGGTCAAGACCCTTCCCAGAAGAAGGAGGGAAGGGAAGATAGAGAAACCGTGTTCGGGTGAACGGAGCGGTCCGGGTGGTTCACAGCCCAGAGGAGTTGGATGAAGGTGTCTAGCCGGA